TATAAAGAAGGGGGATAAAAGGGGCTGATAAAGAAAGGGGGGGGGGGGGAAGACACACAAAACAAAGACTCAGTGAGCATGCCTGTCTTAGACAAAAAATAAAGAAGTTTCCAAGCCCACAGGAGACAATGGAAGTCCATAGCTTGGCATTCAACACCAGAACAAGGAAAGAGTGGCCTGTTGGGTAGCTCCCTCACAAGCAGGGAGAGCTCCCGAAAGCTTCCAGTGGCAAGAGAGAGATAAGGAACCCAAACAAGTATTTGAGTAAGGGCTTTGTTCTGCATCTAGCACGGGCCTAGTTTTTCCTCAGCTGACAAGTGGTATTTACAAGCGACAAGGACTTCTCCTAGCCAGAAGCATGTAGGTATGTGAACCATAATTATAAAGGGAGAAGTTAAAAGTGGCGATTTGGCCAAGGCTCATATATAGGATATAGGTGACTCCACCCCAAGGAAAAAAAGAGGTGCATCTTCACTTTTACAAGAATCATATAGTAATAAGGACCAAGAATAATTTGCACTGCAATGAAATTTAAAGTACATTACTCTAAGTTTTCTCTGTATTGAAGAATTTTTTAGCTCTGAGATTCTCAGCCTGGGAGTTGGGTATCCCTGGTGGTTCATGAACTGGTCTGAGGGAGGGTGTCGGGGTTGGGGTTTAAGCTACTTTATGGTAGACAGAGAAGGGGATGGGGATGCTAATTTCTCTCTTTCTTTTTGTATCACATTGTCATGGTGGGGAAGAGCGTGATCCATGCTGAACAGAATTACCTATAACAAAACAGAACTGGACAGAAGCAGTAAACGTCTCATTGTGGGTGGACAATTTACAGATGATGTTGAAAAGGAGGAAAGACATAAACAGGCCCAAACCTATTATAAAAATCAAACGCTACTCTTCTCTCATTTTCTCTAATCCACGTCCTTGCTACATATCCAAACGTTTAGAGCCAACACTGGACAATTACATTCAGTCCTGGTTAAATCTACGTGCTTGGTTTGCCAGATGGCAGGTTTCACTGATAGCTCCTATCCAAAAAAACAACAAAGGGATTGCAAAGCACATTTGATTAATCAAGACTGACAGTGCCTTGTCCAGCAATGAACAACCCTCGCCACGAATCCAAAGGAACAAACCAAGCATGTACCCAAAAGCCCTGTTTTACAAATACACATGACTGCATAAAGCAGAGGCGTTCAACATTGTACCTCCACAGCGTTCAAAGGTAAAATGGCTGCTCTGCAGCAAAGGTGAATTCACTGAGCCTCACGCAGCAAACTCGGCACAAAGACGAAACGTGGCTTCTCTCCCACTAGTCTCATTTCAGTAAATGGACCTGCACAGACAGTGCCAGCTCTTGTTCAGACACTAAGAGGCTGACGGATAAAACAGATCCATTGTGCCAGTGGCACTAACACAACAGGAGCAAAGCTTTTAATTTGCGTTATTCCTTCCCCTCGCCCCGCGGTGGAATTAATTAAACAACAGCCAAATCCCCCTCCGAGACAGGCTGTTCATCTTCTGCTTTCTAACCAGTTGAAAAGGGTTTAGCCTCCAGCTTTGCTCCAAGTAAAGATAAAAGATCAAAACAGATGTGTTAGGAGGTAAGTTGGCCTGGTTCTCCCCTGAAATGCGAGTCCAAGGGCCCCAAGATGAAATCCTGACCAGAATAAAGATGTGATCTGCAGAAGCCATGGCAGCAGTATTGGCTGGAATTGGTGCCCATGCTAAAAAGGGGTCGCTTGCTCTCAGTTGAGAAGGGACCTGGACTCAGAAAAAAAGGTCTCGACAGAGGCTTAGGGGGAATGCCTGGGAGAGGTACCTGAAAGAAGTGTCAGGAAACTCTGTGGGTTGCAAGGGCTGTCCATGACCAGGGAAGGATAGATGTTATATTCACCGGGGTCAATACAAGTCTTTACAGTACCAAGGCCCAGCTTTAAGATAACCCAGGCCTCAGGACAACTGAAGCACCACGCATTCCCCTGTGCAGAAGGCAAACTGCGATGAAGGGGCAAAGCCAGCCCGCGGAGACTTGTCACCGATTCTAGTCTCAGGAACTCTTACCAAAGTCCATGCGGTCTTTGTGGTTGCGCTGAAGAAGCCCCAGCAGCAGCTGCCTCAAGTGGCTTGATGTCTCTCTGGGGATACTGGAAGAGTAGAAGAGCAAAATTAGATTTACAGCTCACCTAGCCATGTCTCAAGATCAGAAAAAGCAAACCCCGCCGCCCCCCGGACTACAAAGAGAGATGCCCCCTGCTCAGGAACTGAACAGGTGCAGTTATTTTCATCCTAGTGGCCTTCCCAAGCCACTAGTGTTGTTATTACTAATGCTTTGGGTAATCTCTTTAAAGGCCTGCTCCAAAAGCATCTGCAGATCCTCGACTTCCAAGCTGATGCTAAAGTCATCTCTCTTGTTCCAACCTCATCCTATTCAATGCCCTAAGTCACAGGACAAAACTAAGTCACAGGATAAGCAGCATCTATCTCCTACATAAATAGCATCTATCCTTCCCCCCTGACAACAGGAATCAATTGCTGAGAGAGAGCGAGCAGTTACCTGAAGGAAACTACCAGTTAACGCCCCTGGCATCCTAGTGATCAGCTTTGCCAACTTACTATTTTTAAATCACTTTAAGTGTTAAGCCGAGTTTGCAGAAGACTGGAACCAAACCTTAATTTGACTTTTTATGGGATCACAGTTAAACAGTACTTGTGGTGGGTGCCACTGAGATCTGGGCTTATGCTGCTTAGGACAAGACCTGTGGGATATTTCCCCACACTGAGCAAAGGAGACATAGCAGGTAGATGTGAATGCCACATGGACGATGGCTGCGTCTGCTTTTCAGTGGCAGCCACGGGGCCTGCAAGCAAAATAAAACGCGTACGGTCTCCCTCCCCCTCCAAGCAGATGAGGTGAATGTAGAGACATGGAGACAAATCCTGGATGCGCAGGAGTACCGTGAGCAGCGTAGCATAAGCACATGTATTAAGGAAGGGAAAACATGCTTCAACTGCTGCCTAAGCAGACGCAGCTAAGTTGACTTCCCTCTGTCTAGAAAGAGCTGTTCTGGGCAACTACAAGCCGAGCCGAGTGCCGCTCCCAGCGAGAGGAGAGCTCTCCAAATTAAATGCTGGGTGGATCCAGAGCCTGTCGGCATTGGCACTGTTTATTGTGGCTGTGCCCAGCTCAGTCCTTGCCGTCTGCCAGGCCTCTCCCTCTCAGGGGTCAGCCGAGGTAATGGCAAGCGCAGCGATGTTAACTATACAGAGCCGACTGCCTACTCGTCACGGAGCATGCCGCATGTCCGGGGACAGCTCTCCTTCTCTGGGTCACCCCAACTTAATGGGCCCCAAAACAAGCGTCCCTCTTCGACAGAGCAAGCACCTGATGCCTCCGTGTTATTCTCCCATTTCTCCCCACCTCCCGTACTGAAGCAAAGTAAAAGGAGATGGGGCCAGAGGAGAAAGTGCTAAGTAGCATTAGCACCATCTTGCTCAGTTCAAGAGCGAAACTGGAGCCCAGAGGCTATATTTAAAGGCTTTAAAAGGATCCAGTTATTTTTCTATGAAGTCCCGGGCCTTGCCCGTGTGGGAATTTGAACCCGGCGATTCCTAGAACACACAATGACGCTGCAGGCGGTCCAGCAGCCTTGTGCGTGCAGCAGGAGAAGTTGTTTTCCACTCCCTCTCACAAAAACATTTCTTTCTACACATCTGCCAAATTTAGGGCTAGGAAGGCTCTCTCGAACCCCAGAGGGGGGGGTTCTCTTGCATTAAGCAGAGACTAGGTTTCATCTCAGCCAATGTCTATGGTCTGCAAATAACTCTGGTCAAAAGAGTGGTGCCTACAGAAAGGCACCAAAATACTGTAGAGCAGCAACCCAGGATGCCACGGGGCTGCATCGCATGCGTTCATATAAATGGCAAAAGGCACATCAGTGCTGAGAAAACAGCAGTGGCGTACTTTTGAAGTACAACACAAAGGTGTTTTAGTTCACAAGTGTGCTGACGCCGTTTTCTGTGTGTTGGCGCGTGTTCTGCTGTTTATACAAACGCATGCGCCGCAGCGCCGCGCACATCATCTCACATGCTCCACAGACTCGATTAATCAAGTCTGCTCCAACGAGCTGGATTTCCAGCGTGCCATAGCAGACAAACGTACGTGTGTAAATGCTCAATTTGCAAGCTTTCTTGAAAAATGCATTCGTGATTAAGGGATGCAACCCTCTGAGCATCATGGTCATCATGTACTTAGCCATCACACACGAAGAGGTGGGTAACAAATAACTCAGCACAAAGCTAGCCTCCGTTTTTCCAGCCAGATTCAGCTTGTGTGTGTTTTTAAATCAGCCTCAAACAGGGAGGTTCACAGTTATGCCTAAGGTCACATAAGAGACTAAAGACAGCCCGGATTAACAGGCTGTTTCTGCCTTACACCTCTGAGTGCCTCAGCTATGTTTTCCAAAGCCTAGGTGTTCACCATGAACAACCAGCCACCTCCTTATCTTCCAGAGCATCTTGTCGTGCAGGTCAGGAGGATGAATACTAGTTATTTTGACCGGCATTTTGAAGATAGGGAGGCCTTTGGGCTTGCTCCCCACCTCAAAAAGGCATTTTTTCTGCCAGTAGTCATGTCAGCTTTCTGCAGAGAATTTAATGCTCCACCCCTATGGCCCAAAACAAAGCACATCTTCTTTCAGGACCAGGCCACTGGGTTGGGCAACAGGTGGGACATGCTGAGTAGCCCCACAGAGAATGAAACAAAACCCTGGCACTGGCTGGGTGCACGGAGGGCAAGGGCTTTTGGGTGGTTTTCTGTTTTGCCCTGCATCAGCACAGCTGAGGCAGCAGCTATCCAAGTTTATTCAAGGAACAGCACAGAATGTGGTTTGCATTAAAAAAAAGAAAAGTGAAGAAAGAGAAAAAGATCACCCAAGTTCATTAGTTTGCAGATTAATGCCCAAGGGAGGCCTGTGGGACTGCTTTTTTAAGAATGCTTTGTTAATTAAAGCTGATTAATAATACTAAATAAATAAGAATGGCCACTCTCTCTCTCTCTCTCTCGTGGCTGAATTTCATTTCTAATTAAGTCAGCCTCTGTCTCAGCAACTCACACAGTTGAAAATGGCATTGGGGTGGAATAATGCTACTGTGGGAGAAGGCTTTAAAAGGAACAGATTGTGTTTCTCTGTCACTAAAGCACGCAGACTCTTAGGTGAGTGCCAATTTATTTTTAGGGGTGTGCAGGGAGGGAAAGAGGAAAGCAGCTCCTCTTTCTGTCTCCAGCAGGAAGGCAACGAAAAAGTTCTTCTGACTCCATCAAACCCGTGGGGTCAGTGCCCAGGGCAAGGCCAGGTTCTTTGGGTAGATGTGATCTCTTTTATTAGACCAGCTGAGTAGTTGGAAAAAAGTTTTTTGCAAGCTTTCAGGTACAAATCACCTTGTTCAGGTATGGGGAGTCTCTGCTGGTCTGAGATCGCCAAGGAACGAGAGAAGCTAAGAAGTGTGACAGGATGTCAGTGAGAATGGAAATAGGTTGCATTAGACCAACCCCACTACAACCAAAAACAGGGCAAAGCAGGAGGCTCAGTGTCTAACACTTTGATCAAAATGTAATTTTCAATCACAAAAGCAGCAGCCAGGGAAAGCAAAACTGAAAAGCTAGAATAGGTTGCACGTTGGTCACAGACCTGCAAAACCAGGATTTCTTTGCACCACCTCCAGCAGCTGCTGGTGTCAGCAAGCAAAACCTACAAGCAGGATGCCTGATGAACTTCCTGCCACTTTGAGCTAAACTGAGCATCACGCACACCAGTCAAACACGGCAGCGGGTGATGTTGCAAGCTGAGAGAACAGTCCGTTTCTCTCCTAAGCTCAGTTCAATTCAGTGACTGGTTTGAGCTTCCCAGTGGAGAGCCTTTTTCTAATGCAAAGAGGATCTGATGCTTTAATCCCATCTCTAGAAAGATTAAAGTCTCTAGAGAAGAGGGGGAGGCTCTGATTTAAGACGGTAATATCAAATTAAAGCTCATAATAAAAAACAAAACATCAAAGCACAACAAAACCCAGAACACTATATGGCAAGTTACTTATTTAGGGAGCCAGGTCACACCACAATGGAAAGATGGTGCTTACTTTATCGTCCATCCTGGCAGGACTTGCAAGCTTGCCACATGCAGAGGGCACGGATGTGTTCACATTTTGCTCCATTAGTGACCTGGGCACGGGAAGTTGTTTTTCTGATTTACAGAAAACTGGAACCTGCTTTACCTGCAAATGCTGGGAGAAGTCACAGTGCTACGAGGGGGAAGACACTGGCAGCTCCTGGATTCATAATGGTTAAGGAATGGGGAGGCAGGGGGCCAAACATTTCAGTCATATCCCCAACATGAGGAGCCCGTGGTGCAAGAAGACAGGTGTAAAATACAGACAGAGTAAGCAAGCGGGCCAAAAATAGCAGCGCTGGAAGAATGCTTACTTAGGCATCAGCATCTTGTTTTTCTCATAGAAGAGCCGAAGGTCTTGAGGGCTGCTGGCCTATGAACAAGAAAAAAAAACAAGATGTAAAGCTGCTTGCAACAAAGGAAGGGGATTAGGATTTTTATCCTGCTTCCCAGTCATTCTGAAGTGCTTTTCTACTGCTGAACTCGCCTCAAAAAATGCTTCTATTTCAGGAGCCCCTTTAGGTTGCAATACCCAGGCTGCACTATGGAATGAAAAAAAACCCAACACACAACATTTCAGCCTCTTGGATTTTTATCCCCGACCCGACTCCTTTTTTCCTGTCCCTTCCTGAAGGCTCATTTCACTGGCTCCTGCCACTCTGCTCTAATCTGCCCTAACAGCCTCTCTCCAGAGGTTAAAATCACTGCGGACGTGACAAGTCCCAAACGAGGAATGGCAGCTCCTGCCCACAATTCTGGATTAATTCCCCAGGGTAATTTCGAACAGGGGCTGGGACGGAAAAAAGAAGTGGTGGGGGAACTTCAGCTCTGTGGGGAGAGGAGGGGGAGGAATAAAAAAAAAAAAACAACAAACCATCAAGGCAACCAGATCCTAATGCCTTCTACTTAACTCCAATAAGCCAGAACAGCTCAAGCTCCAGCCATCACCGCAGATGGAACAAAAAAAAAAAGATACCACACTCTGGGGGATGAGGAGTTAAAAAAAAAATTATACATGCTGGGAGAAGTTAGCAGCTGGAGTTAAAGATAAAATCTCCAGGAAATAATCAGGGACTCGGTAGAGCCTCCTAAATCTGTTGTCCTCATTGTTTGTTTGTTTGATACACACACACCCTAAATAATACAGGACCAGCAAATTGCCCCAAGAGCGTTCTCAGCATACAGAAGCTTTCAAGCCTAGGCCAAAAACCTCTAATGCAAGACAGCCTGGACTGGCTACAAATCCACAGACAGGAAAGGCGGTGGGAACGGGGAAGGAGAGAATGGAACGATTCCCGCTCCACCAATCGCCGCCTGCAAACGCGGTGGTTGGAGAAGGTGGGACGGACGAGGAGGTCACAGGCAGCTTCTCCTGACCTTGGGGGAACCGAAGACAGTTACCAAAAGACAGAGCCCTTCCTCCTACCTAGGTCCGTTTCTCAACTGGAAGCGTCTGAGGTCAGCAAAGCAGCTCCAAAACCTCAAACTGCGGGTATACAAGTGTGAGCCAGAGAGACTGGGGCATCGTTATTTCAAGAGGTTTGCTAACATCGCCTGAGAAAGTTGCCAGTTTAAACAGTGATCACACCATCCTGCTGAGCGTGAACACACAGCCAGCCCCAGCTACAAGGGCTTGATCCTACTAAACCCCCCGCCCAAAGAGAACAGGAGGTGAGCTGCTTTCACTGAAATAAGGGTTTTCTTTCTGCAGTAACCTGCCCCTTACTTCAAGGGAACGTGCAGCACAGGAGGTGCAGCAACATGCTGCTCTTCACACAAATATGAAGCAACCCTGGCTCGGCAAAGGAGCCCGTGACACAGAAGATCAACCCGTGTCCGAGCCCTGCCGCCTAACTCCATTTATTTCCATGCAGCTCTGCATTTTACGCCCTTCCTCTCCCGGCCCCTGCCCTGTCATTTGAAGCTTACAGCCTGGAACACTTGAAGCAGGCGAGCACACGCAGTACATGGAGGAGCCTGGCAACAGTGCTATGCCTCGCTAAATATACCCTGGACAAGTAGAAACGCAGTTCCACAGCAATGAAGTGAAGCGCTTATTCACGTCCGAGAGAAATGCAAAAGCTCGGCTGTTTTCTCTATTCGTTTCCTGGCCTCGACAACTCAATTGTTACAGAAATATAATGAAGCTTGGGCTGGTTTCAAGCATTGTTTTGTCTGAAGTTTTCCTAGCAGCAAGCAGCCGCAGTACATTAAAGAAGCATGTCTTTAAACCGCCAGCTAATGAGAAGCCCAGTTCTCAGCAATCACCTGTATTGGGAGGGGGAAAATTTTTTCTCCCCATTTTTTAAATGAATGAAAGTTTGGATCAGTACGTTTGCAAAAAAAGAATCCAAATCCTTTCCTCAATTGCAACCTCTCTCAGTGGGGATGGTGGCTTTATCAAAACCAGGCTCTCTTAGCAGAAACTGCCCTAATTTCAATGCTGGCCCTTGATGTGGCTATCGGCTTGTTGGGAAGCGAACCAAGACCACCAACTCATGGATCCTCTTGCAGCATACTTTCTCCATTGGCCAAGCAGGACTGATTGCATCTTTATGTGACTTGGTGACTAATCAAATAAGCCACCCACTCCCACTCCTGTTCATGCTAGGCCTGCAGTAGCTGCCTATATAGGCAGACTATCAAGTCTGCACTGTTAGGAGCACTTGGGAGTCCATAAGACATAAGAGCTCCAGTTACCTCTACACCTATAGGTTAATTTAACCAACATCTCACCCAAGAAAATAAACTCACGGGGCAGGCAGACAGACAGACATTTTTTCCCTTTTTCTGTGGCTAACGCAAATTTAATTAACCAGAGCCCGCTTAGCCTTCTCCTCAGATAATCTGCAGTGCATGCAACCAGAAATATTTACTGGTGAAGAGACACTAGATAACATTTGCTCTTTGGATTTTCAGTTCTGGGATCCCAAGAGTCCACTGTCTGCACCATCTTCCAGACACAGTCCTGCATCTCGGGTAATTAGAGGAGCAAGGATCCAGCAGAACCCATGCCGCCCCTCAAATGAAACTGCTATCAACTGGGCACTGTCTACATGTAGTAAAGGGACCCCAACTAGACCATTCAATTCATATTAAAGCAGGGAAGCAACCACAGAACAGTTCTCTACGACTCCTGAACAGGTGCAAGATTCGACCAGGCTTAGGTCAAACTCAACGGGCCACAGTCATCCCGGCTGTCACTCCACTGACTTGACCCAAGCAGCATTGGGGATGAATTTGCTTCATTAAGACAGTGAGCACAACCATGCTATATCTTTCTGGGGACTGCTGGCTGCCAGATGAGACAGCTGGATATAGCCCCATATCCACATAAGCGGAGATTTTCAGAAGTAACTCGTGAAGGCTTGTCACTGCTCACTGAAGTCAATGAGAATATGACCAACCAACTAGCACTGAGTGCATCTGAAAAAAAGTCTCGTTCTCAGTGCTGCCAAATCAACATTTCCACGGAAGGTCTTCAGTAAACCACCACTTAGCTATGGCTCTAGCTTCTGGGTACACAGGATGAGATTATGGAGGAAAAACTAAGGTACCATTAGAAAACTTGCAAGCTCTTGTGGTTACAGAGAAAAAAAAAACAGTTTGACTGAAGTGCACCATGAAAGTGTGGCGTGGAGTTTTTTTCCAGGGGGTAGGCAAGTAGGTGGGAGGAATTCCAGTTTTTGAATCCTGATTTTAAAAGAGTTTTTGAAGGTATGGGCTTAAGGACACTGAATGCAAGACCCTGTACTCCCTTTGAAGTGGTGTTTTTTTACTGACATCTGACAGACTCATAACCACTGGTCTAAAAGCAGCAGCTCACTGACTAGAGCAACCTGCTGCCTTTGCATATGTATATCAGCTTCAGTTTCCTCAAATTCTTCCAAAAAAATACAAGCCAGCTTCCAAAAGAAATCTCACCCCTATCAATACCGGGCCAACTCCACCTCACTCAGTTTGTTCACGTAGAACCAGATTGCTTCCACAGCAAAGAGTTTAAATTCCACGTACAGGAAGCCGCCTTCATCGACTGCACTGCGAAATGGGCCCTCAGTACAATAATTCTCTGCAGTTGTTGCAAATGGTACATGAACCTAGTACTGATCTAGGAAGACTCAACTGAGAGAGAATCAAGCAATGGGCTCAGTGCAGCAGGCTTGGAAATTAAATTTTTCATCTAGTAGCTAGCTGGGATGAGCGCATACCCAGGCACAAGTTAACTCTTTCAAAGCTGCCAGGTAAGTCTCATCTATCTCAGCAAAGCCCAGAAGTGTTTGAATTAGTGCAATTTGTCTGTCACACACGCGCTCCATTTTCAGCCAGAGGATTCATCACAATATGCAATGCCACAATGAATGCTACCGCAATGAATGCCCAATAGGATCATGTGTCTAGATGCAGATTGTGCTACTGCACGCTTGAAAAAGAATAATTCAGCAACTCATTAAGCTTTAAAAACCTTAAGACCCAAGAACCCCCGGACTTTAAGGTGCTATGCACCTGGGACTCCCCTGCCATATCAATAGTACTCACTTCTCCAGTGGAAGAGCACAGCCAAAATGAGTATACAACTTGTCTATAAATGAAAGCCGTGAACCAATCGTCTTTAGCATAATGCAAACTTTGAAAGAGAACTAGACTGGCGCAGGGCCCTGCTTTGTGACATCTCACACAAGACATCCCCTCCCCTCCTCTCCCCTGGCATTTCTTTCCCCTCCTGCCTCTTTGTAAACTCTATATGTTTGTAAGCTCTTGAAGGCAGGGACTACGCCTCCCCATTATTTGCCCAGGGGTACGCACAATATACCTCTGTGCTTTGGGAGGGTGTCAAGGTGTTTCTGTGAGGCACATAAATAAGACCGCTACAGCAGTAAATGCCCAGGTCAGACTGAGGGATACAAGGGAGAAGGGCCACAAGTTTGGACCATGTCCTCCTTTTCTTAAGCAACACGCATTAACAATTAGCCATCAAGAGAGTGCCTGGCCAATCTGTTTATGGGGATTACCAATCCTGTTAATCTCATCTCTGGCAGTTTCATTTTATGAGGGGTTTTTTTGTTGTTGTTTGGTAAGGCATCAGGGACAACCATGCTACCGGCTAGCCATGATCAACAAGCAGAGGCCGCTTGTATCGGAGGGGTGCAGCAGAGGACAGGGAGGAGGAGGACTAGCAAAGTGCAAGAGAATGACAGATACAGGAAAGTCACCTCAGGTGACCCAACCCCTGTTAATTTTAAAACTTCCCCATCTGGCTATAAAAGAAACACTCCCGTGCCTTGATTTATGGCCTACCCTTGACTGACAGCTGCGCCCCGGGCTTCTACATCCACTGGATCCTTTACCCACCCACCCCAGGCCTTTCAAGTATTTTTTATTTTTAGAGACCTCTTCTCGCTGAGGACAATGCTGGAGCTCCCTGTGCACAAAGCACACCGACGGCCCCCCCACACACCTGGGGATGGGGCTTGAGCCACGCGAATTGAAGCAAGACTTGGCCGAAATAAAGGAGTCCATATCCCATTGCACTAGAAGGAAACACCCATTGGCCAGTTCATAGCTTTGTTCAAGAGGCTAAAAATAAGTCCTAACAGAGCTTGCAACACTGCAAACACTGGCAAAATAAGCAACCTTGTATGAAGAACAGGCTTCCAGAGCAAGGGTGAAGCTCAGCGGGACCCAGTCCTTGGAGCCAGCAGCAGCCAAGGGAAAAGGATAGGCAGCCTCTCTCGCCCGCTCGACTCAGCCAGGGCTGGGGAATGAAGAGGGGCTTCCACAGGATGGATTTGGAACTAACAGGCTTATCCAGACTGTCTACTTCTGCTTGGTCCATGGGTTATTTCATGCTCAAGACATGAACCAGGAAGCCTCAGCTGGAGAGAGTGTGGGAAGGATGCTATTTTTGGCATGGCCTTAGGAGATGGGACTGGGACTAATTCCCGGATCAAGGACAACAAGAAGTCCTTTTTTAAATACATAGAGGGCAAAAAGAAGGTACTGGGTAATGTGAGGCCCCTGCAAGACGCGCTAGGAAATTTGGTCCTCAGACCAGACGGCAAAGCTAACCTATTTAACGACTTCTTTGCCTCCATTTTCCTGAGCGGGGACCAGTTCAGCCCCCGCACCGGGCCCCCCT